CAATCCAGAACAATTTCTTTTCATAACAGGAAACAGCTGTTTGTAGGTGTCAATGCTGGTGAAGACGTAAGCTTTACTTTTACTTAGAACCATAGGGGCTCGACGCGTTCAGTATCCATTTGATTGAAAACATATTTCTGCACAGGGGTTTCTGGAAAACGTAATCAAAAACACAAACAAAATGCAAATTTTCAGTTTCCAAGAACACTTTTGCTTTAGAGGTCGTCAAACTTTTGCAGGTCTTTTTTTTGTGCTACTTTTACCTCCGTCATCAAGTGATACCCACCTCCTACAACGGCAAATATCTCGACTTCTGTTCAAGATTGATGTGAATCTTATTCATCTAAAGCAAATTACCAGGGTTTAAGAGAATACCAATAACTCCATATGTTACAAAATTGACGAGCGCCTGAATCAACCACGACGTGTGACATTTTAGAAATCCTTTTCCTCCGATTTAACAAGTGCATATAATTACAAAGTAAGAGTATCATTAGAAGGTGGGTAAACTTATGGATATCGACTGACGGCCATTCGTACTGATGTGACGCGCAACAGTAGACGGCTCAAAGTTTGACATTTGCCAACTCAATAATAACAATAATAGTAAAGCGGAAAAGTGGTTATCCTGCTGCCAGTATTGGTTTCATATTATGATATAGCAGATAGCAGAAAACCACATGTCATTTTCATTCTCATTTCTGCCTTTTCGCTTCAGAAAATAACCCCCCCCCCAACACACACCAATTACATACATACGCGCACACACTTTCTGTAGATGTATTAGCTCTTTCTTTAGACATTGACGAGTGGGTGGTTGGCGGGTGCTCTGGTGTGGTTTGCTTATTCTTTCCTATCAAACATCTGTCGTCCTTATCTCCCCTTCTTCTTTTTTTATGGTTGTTACTCTCTTGTAATACATCTAATCTTCTGGAACTCATATGACCTTATGGAGCTGTGAGTGCCGTAAAACCTCTGCTAAAACTAAACTAAGACATTGGCGAACGAATGAGTTTTTTATGAATGAACACTAATTTCATTCTTTGGTAGTCGAAATTTTAAGCATTTGTTTAGAAAGTATTATGGCACTTGTAACACAATACGGTCGTATAAGTGCCGAAGATTAGAGGTGTCACGAAAGAGTAACAAATACAAAAAAGGCGGAGAGATACAGACGAAAGATGTTTGACGGGGAAAGAAAGAGCAGACCACACTTAACTAGACGACCTGCAGACCACTCAGGCCAAGGTTCTTTAAAAAAATCTTTTAACAAAAATAGAATAGATATGGCAAGGAAATAGATAAAAACAATAACTTTAAAAAAGACAGCAATATGACCAACTTGACTGCGCCCAACAATCAAGTCATAGTTTTATTAGTAAGAGTTTTACGGCATGTGCAACACAAATTTGTCACATTAGTGCAGACAATCTGAGAGTTTACCAAAAAAAAAAGCAACATACAAAGAAAAGAAGGAGGAGGAGGAGGATGGAGGAGAAATAAGGACGATGGATAATTAGTGCAAAAAAGGG